CAACATTCCCAACAGGTAAAATGTAGAACCGGAGAGACAAACACGAAGGAAAATGCCGGATAGTTCAAGAAACCGGCACGAGAGTCAAAAGCGCAACCACTAAGTACATCGGTTATTGCCAAACATGGCGCCCTTTGCGTGCTGGTAAGGCATTTCATTAATATGAGTATTAGGCAAAGTATCATATGTACACATTATGTTGTATGTACAAACAAAAGAAACCGGATGTTCACACGCGCTAATTTGAGAACTTCAGCTAAACTGAGTGTTAAGGACTTATAAGGCGTCAATAACTATTTCGACTCTTGGTTTGAACTAACGAACGTTCTTCAGAGCTATTACGGCACGCGCGCAGAGTAGCCACTCGAATTCGGAACGTTGCAGGCTAACGAGAGCTAACCGCCAGACATACGGGAACTGAGACTGGAGACGAAGAACGCGCAACCTCGCGTTACCGCACTGACCCAATGAGAAAATACACTGACCAGCACATGAGATGTCACACAGTAGTAGTGTCCTGAAGAATACTCGGTGTCTGTGGCTTTGTGCGGTGACTGCCACAACGCTCTGACGAGAGTTCACTAGGATCACTGCAGCTTGCACAGTCGATGTATTAGTGTCCAAAGTGGAGCTCAGTTGGTTCACGGTATCAGCTCCGCAACAGATAGTCTGTCCGGTCTGGCTTTCACACTTTCGTAAACAGCCACTTACGCGCGTAATTCATTTCACTAACCGGTAGTTACTAGAGTAGCTAAGTGTGCAAAAAGAAACTATCAGAACTTTTTAAAAATAAACTTTGTTATTTGTGTTATCACAACCCACTTTTCGCGGCATGACCCTCTATGGCCCCCCCTAAAATATTTCTCATCCCAGGGCCCCCTGGCATTTTCTATGAGCAGCACAGAGCTCTAGAAGACAATCTTCGTAATCCGTCATTGCGAATACCAAAGTCATGCAGATCGCTGGCGTCGTGTTCATCAGCTTCCAATCTATCAATCTGTGTTTTGATCCCCGGTGAGAACAACGATATCCGTGCGGCACTTGTGGAATAGTTCGCAGGGTTGACGGTGAAAATAATCTATAGCAGAGTCCAGTCTGCAATCCGTAAGAGCATATACCGTTACGACAAGCAAACTGCGTGTGGTTGCCTCTTGCGTGGATAACCATATATTATATTATTTATTCACAGTCTGTTAACAGACATTGTGCCATCAGAACCATGGCAGAAGAAAAAAGTGAAGAAGATGGGAACATGAACTGCGATTAAAAATATGGGAAACGATTTTTTAGTTTTACACACGCCATTTTTTATTTTTGTTTTTTTGTGAGTTTTTCTGTGCATCAAAGGGATGGTAAAATGGCAGAACAACATTGACGCCACTGATGTCTGTTGCGGGCCATGACGTCTAGTGTTTCCAACCACTGTGATTCAGCATCTCGTGGTCCCTAACCTGGAAGACTGACTGGTCCGACTGCCGCCAAACTTGAGGTTGCCTTCTTCATGATCCTTCTCCACGTCATTGGCTGTCCACCGCGGCACTTTTTCCAATCGCTCCCTGGGAGTGCAAATAGCGCTCGACGTGGAAGGCGATGGGCTGGCATGCGCAGAACGTGCCCGAGCCAACGCATGCGATGTCGGAGAATAACGTCCTGAAGACTGGCAATATTCGCTTCAAGCATGCGGTCTCGCACCTTTGCGTTGCTTACGTGGTGTTGCCACCACACCCGAGCAATCCTTCGTAGACAGCGATTGTCGAAGACTGACAGCCGCTTCATACCTTCCGAGAGAATAGGTCAAGTCTCACAGCCGTACAAGAGTACTGCACGGACGGAAGCGTTGTACACTCTGCCCTTGAGCTTGAGACTGACATCACGACGACACCATAGGTGTCTCAGTTTGATGAATGCAAGGCGGGCCTTTGCAATCCGTTGTGATACTTCATCTCCAACACCGTCACCAACAGTGATGCAACTCCCTAGATAAGTAAAGCAAGGGACTTGCTCCAGAACATGTCCAGCAATGGTGAGCGTGGGTTCAGGTACCTGCCAGTCCTGAAGCAACGTTTTACATTTCCCGGAGTGAAGCACAAGCCGTACTTAGACGCTTCCATCGCCAAGCGGTCCAAAACGCTCTGGACGGATTGTGGGTCGTGCCGCAGCAAGGAGATATCATCGGCGTAGTCCAAGTCCGTGATTCTGTCTCCAGGGAGGAGCTCAACCCCGCAGTCCTGGACACCCTCCAGTTCTCTTTGGAGAACATCTTCGATGGCGTAATTGAAGAGGAAAGATGAAATAGGACATCGTTGGCGAATACCGCTGGTCACCGCAAATGAAGAAGAGTGCGCGCCGTAAGCCCTGACTTTGCCCGACGTGTGACTGTAAAGTTCTTTCAGGTTACAAACTTGTCGGGCACGCCTTTCTTCAGTAAACAGTTCCACAACGCAAATCTATCTACTGAATCAAATGCCGCTCGGATGTCCAAAAACACTACGATTGTTGGCCGCCGGTGGATGTGACCAAGTTCAGGAACTTGCCGAAGCGTGCGGATTTGATCGATGCAGCCGCGGCCTGGACGAAATCCGGCTTGTTCTTCTCGGGAAAACTCCTCTCTAGTCGTTGAAAGCCTGCTAAGTAGGACCGGCACGAAGCTTTTGGATGCGACAGAGATTAACGAGATTCAACGGTAGTTGCAGCAATCGACGCGGGAGCCCTTCTTGTGAATCGAAACAATGACCGATTCTCCCATGCGTTCGGAACCTTCTCCTCAAACTTTCGTGAACAGCGATAGGATTTCGCTGACAAGTACACTCCCGCCATCTTTGAATAGAGCCGGTTGTAGGTTGTCCGGACCCGGTGCCTTGTGGCGTTTCAAAGATTGGATTGCATTTCGAATCTCTGCTTCATTTGGGGGGGGGAGGGGGCTGTGGAGACAGGCCAAGCATCATACATTGGGGCTGGAGGTATCACAGGGGCTGTGTTGGGTGGTTGAATTGAAGAGCGAAATGCTCTGCCTAGCGACCCAATCGCCTGTGAAGGTTGGTGATCTTCGTGCCGTCTGATTCGCAAATCGTCTGGCTGATAGCGTGAAAATTGCAACCCGTAGCCCTGATGATGTAAAATAGACGGCGGAAGTTGCCAGCTGATGCAGCGGCTTCCATCTCATCAGCTTGTTTTGACCACCAAGATTCACGATCAGAGCGATCCAGCAATTCCGAGGATCTTCCCGAGATCTAGCTTTTGGGAGTGGAGCGAGCTTGGCCACAGCTGGACAAACCGACCGACAGCAAGGCTTGTTGCAGACTTGACCAGTGTTGATCAACATCCAGGGGGTGAGAGAGAGCGAGGTTTTCAAGAAGCCTTTGTCGATACTCTTTCTTCACCATTGGGTCCTCCAACTTGTAGGTATTCAGTCGGGATAATCGTATGGTGATGTCTAATCGAATTGCGCGGATTGAGCTATTAATTGGGTGCCAAACAAGTAGCGCTGCTACTGAGCGCGCTGTCACTAAATGCAATTTCTACACCGGCCTGGCTGGCGGCTTCACTACTTGGATCTCCCAATCGTTTTAGCGTGAATGTGTCGTGTTAGCGATCGGAGAACTACGTAGATTGATGTCCACATGTGTGGTGTGCGGTTAGCACTTTTCATTTACGTAGGTAAGTGCAGAGAGTTGACTTACGTAACCCCGCCTCGCGTCTTAATTCGCAAAGGCCTTACCCATAAGGCAGCAAGTCGGGTACCGTGCACATTAAAACGTCCGGCCCTACAACACTGTTCTCGTGTAGCAACAAAGTGGTTATGACGCCTGAACAGCTCGAGTTTTGTAGCACAGGGTCAAAGAAACATTTCCTGGACCACCCATCCCGTTTATGATTACGCACTGTTGACAGCCGAATGGCTCATGCGCCTTCTTAGTGCTCGATGTCAGTACACATAGTAGTGGGTGGTCATCGATGTTGCTCATGCACCCTCCGTTAGGTACTGAATTCCGGGCATTCCCCGATCCACAACATGGGAAGCGCGCAACAGCGTACAAGGATCCCGTAAATCGATCTCTATACACACATCCCATTCTCAACTTCGTCTTGCATCGCTACACCACTCCTAGTGCATCATGATGTTATTGTTGCGTCAGTATACGCCAAACTGTGGTGTCACTTTCGCCTTACCATTCTGTGGTTCACACTCTATCAGCTTGCGACGCTTCTCGAGTATTTACTTAGTTACTCAGTGTATATGTCGCCCGCATCTATAAAACGCAGTTCGTGCTAGCTGCGGAATAAGCACACAGATCACCCATATGTTCAGCTACATTACAACCTCACTGCACAGGCCTAGAAGTTTAACATACTGACCTGGACTGCCTGCCATGTCAGAATGCGAATAGCCAGTAGCCATTTTCGTCAACAGGCAGTTATAGAGGTGCTGTGGATCGCGCCGAAATTCCTTATTTTGCATTGACTCAGTTTCATCCTAGCACACCGTTACTGACCTCAGGCACTAACAGCTTACTGCACCCACCCCGTCATGCATTCGGTCACCGCCCAGGTGACAAGATGCACACGAACTAATCCGGCTGTATCCCATACATGCGCACACGTTGCTGTGTCAGTGCATCCGTGCCATATTAACTGGAGGCGCGCATGTCATTGTCGCTGTAATGGTCCCAGAGGATTTTGATAACCAGTCAGCTGAACTCGTACCCCTTATGGTCTAAATTCACTTGGAAATGGTATAGAGTGTGATATGCGTTTTGTGACACACAACTCGTCTGCACTATTTTTACTTCGTCAGCAGCTACCTTTGATTTTTGGCGCATGATCCTTTTTCCCATATTACTCATTAGTAGTTTGCCACAAGCTACTTATCTGCTTCTTTAAAACAATCAGACTTGCACTTCGGTGGTTCTTTCATTTCCATTTCATCTCCTTCTCTATGACACCCTAGTTCCCCTTTGTTTGTACTATTGCGTAACGAGCGTATTTTCTTCTCATTTCAGAATGACCCCAGTATTGTCGCCTCTTATGATAGACGTGGTAGGTACATTTACACAGGGAACTCCAAGGGCCGGGTAAGTATTTCGACTGTTGTTGCATTCTTTTTATTTACTTATAACATTCACGCACCATCGGGTCTCTTGCTTTTGCCGTCTGACTTTTCTAGTCACGTTCCTTTAGCACTTTAACGTTCCCTTTCTAGCTCGTGCTCATCATCGTTCATCTTACGCGTTAGCTAAAGGTGGAAAACATCTTACCTATTGTGCCGCGATACTTAAGAGAAGTGGAAGAGAAGCATTTAACAGAAGCACGCAACCTGAGCTACCAGTAACAGATGGAAAAATACCAGTCGGTTATTACGCTACAAAAAATTATATTATGCAAAATTTATATTATGCTAAGAAATGTGATCGCGGTTGGAGGGAGAGGGGCAAGGAAATTCACAACACGAGCGCTATTGAGGTCCGCCACTAGCTGTCAATAAGTGTATCCAGCCAAATGTGTTCGTCGTCTTTCGGACCCCAACCGGGGGGCCACGAGTCTTCAACCAGGGGCAACTTCGACTAAGGGACTTCATTCCTCTCGACCAATTCATCGCTTGGCCATCCCTCTTTCCATGCACACCCCAGGCGCGCAAACAATGCAGCTCGCGGGAGTCGGTGTGCTGATATGCGCAACACGTGACCCAGCCATCGGACCCTAGTGGGCGAAATTATGGTGCTGAGCGGTTCACTTTTTCTTCGTATACCATAAACAAGACGTCCGACAGGTCCATTGTTCACCCGATGTTACCACTACATATGAGGCAAACTGCGATGACACCGGTAGTCGAACGTAAATAGACTCTTTATGTCGGCTGATGTAATGTCCCAGAGCGTTGAACATGACTGCCTTCTTAACTCTGCCCTTCAGGGTGAAAGGAATGTCCCGCGGGCGCAATAGGTGGCGGAGGTTAGCAAAGGCGCCTCGAGCTTTTACTATACGATTTGTGATCTCATTGATACAACTGCCTAGGTAGTTGAATTTTTGAAAGACTTTTAGCTGGCCACCAAGGTCCAGGGCAGGTGGCGGTCCCTGCCAATCTTGTAAGAGATGTGTACACTTCCAGGTTGTAAAGCATAGCTCAAAACGGCTGATAGCCAGTGCTAATCTGTTCACCTCCACTTTGCACGTTTGCGAGCTGTAATAGGTTAAGGCAATCTCGTCGGCGTACTCCAAGTCAAGAAGTCGTTTACTTTGTAGCAGGTCCACTCTTTCCAAGTCATGTCCTGTGAACCCAACCTCTATATCGTAGTTGAAGAGACAGGGTCCTACACCGCTCGTGTTATTGAAGGGCACCGACAGCTTGCCGTAAGCCCTCACTCTATCGGAGCTGCGCACCTAACACTCTCGGCTAATGTTTACATGTTTCTCGGGCACACCTGTCCTGAGTAGACAGTGCCCAAGGGCACATCGATCCACCGAATCGAAGATACCTTTGATGTCTAGGTACACGATAATAGGTAACGGCGCATTAACAATTGACGCAACTTGAAGATGTGATCGATGCAGCCCCGACCTCGAGGAAACTCTGGTTGCTTTTCACGAATCTGGCTTTCACGAGTGTCAGTCAGTCTGTGAAGCATTACAGGAGCAAGCAATTTAGAGGCGATGTGGATCAAACTGATTCATCTATGGTTGCCACATTCCGAATGTGAGCCTCATGTCATCCGATTGGTTTCACACAATATCGGGACGATGTCTCTAGGTCCAGACATTTAACTCTTTTTTATTCCGCACTTCTTACGTGCTATGAGGTTCCCAGATTCTGTCGTTCGCCTTGCGTGAAACATTGGACCATTGGCCTGGCATTTCTACTATCTCACATGGCATCAGACTTCCTTGTGGTTGACTTTCTTTTTGAGACTTTACAGGCCACTGCACGTATCCGGAAAAGCGCTGCACATTTTTTGTCTTATTAGGACGCTTCTACAGCGCGCATATTTCTCGAAACCCTGGGAATTCGAACATCGTAAACAGCAATTTATACTACGTAAGCACTGGTTCCGGCAGCGGACTGTCATGACCGGTGACCAACTGCTATGGAACACGATTCCTGCTCTATCCCCTGGATAAGAGCGAACAGTTTTTTAGCTGCATCATCTTAGTTCGTTTTGATTTATGTATTCCTATTCGGTCGCTTACGCACATTCAGTGTTACCGTCAAATGAGTGGGAGTGATAACATATTGGTACCTTTATAACAGTCGGTGCTTTTCCAGAACGTTTCGCGTTTGGATACGAGATCGGATTGTATTCATGTTTTGAATATTAGTCGCCGTGTAGTATATGCTTCTTCAATCCCATATAACCTTGGATTATTTTTTCTTTCGATAGCCTCAGCCTTTTCATACACTTATCGTCACATCATGCAGTTTGAAATTTACCGAATGAGTGAAACATGGATGATAGCTCGAACCCTCAACTTCTCACGTAAACGTGTCAGCAGTACGTCTGCACTGCGTACCGACGCTTCGGTGTTGCACAACTACCAACAGTCACGCATGAGCTAATGATAATACGAGGGTCGCTTATTCCCTATGTTAGCTCGACTACACGCCCTCGGATTACACGGCAGCCTTGTGACAATTTAGACTGGACCCCATCACATAGCTCTGCGTTATTTCCTCTATACTCTTGGCTGTCAGCCTTCTAAGTGGATTCTGCTCTGACTTCTTTTAATTGCTACTGGGGGTGTAACAGGAAAAGAAGAAAGGCTTCCATAAGCTCTAACTTTGCGAGAGGTGTGACTGCTCTTTCAAGAGTATGACAAACTTGTCGGGAATGCCGTTCTGTAGCAGACAGTTCCACAGTGACGTCCTATCTACTGAATCGAAAGCGGCTCGGATATCCAAAAACACCACCATTGTTGGTCTTCGATGGACATGACGATGTTGGAGAATTTTTTCGCAACGTGAAAATTTGGTCAATGCAACCGCGGTCAGAACGAAAGCCAGCCTGTTCCTCACGACGCAAACTCTCGCGGGTAACTGAGAGCCTACGCAGCAGAATGAACACAAAGAGCTTAGACGCGACAGAGATAAGTGAGATTCCTCGGTTGTTGGTGCATTCACCACGAGAGCCCTTCTTGCGGAGCGGAACCACAACAGATTCTCCCCATGAGTGAGGAACCTTCTCATCGCTCCATACCTTTGTGAACAGTGATAGAATTTCGGTGACAACTAAGTTCCCCCATCTTTGAATAAGGCCGGAGGAAGACTGTCAAGGCCAGGAGCTTTGTGGTGCTTCAGAGTTTGGATTTCTCTCCGTATCTCGGCTTCAGTTGGAGGATCTATTCAGACTGACCAAGGATCATATGATAGCAGTGGATGTGTAAACGGAGGTTGTGTTGGGCACTTAAACTGTAGAGCATTGGGCTATGCCCAGCGATCCAAGCGTTTGCGTTGGTTGGTGATCTTTGTGCCGTCTGACTCACAGATGGTCTGACTGATGACCTGAACTTTGCGTCTGGTGGATCTAATGAGATAAAAAAAAACCTGCGGCTATTACCAGCAGAGGCTGCAACTTCCATTTCTTTGGCCTGTTTAGACCACCAGGATTCACGATCACGGCGAAGACTCACTTTCAGTTGTCTGGAAATAAAACGGCGGAGTTCAGTGTGCTCTACATTGACGGGTATAGCCCGCCGATAGTCGAGAAGTTCCACGGAGGTGGCCGAGACCCAACTTTTACTTGCGTAACAAACAAGCGCAACTAGATAAACCCGCTGAAAACATAATCTGTTGCAATCGCGATCAATGCTGATCAACGTCTTGAGGAGGCGGAGAAGTGAGGCTCTCACGAAGCTGCTTTTCATATTCCAATTGCACTGCGGGGTCTTCCAGATTACCAGAGTTAATTCTAATTTGTCTAGTCCTAGGCGAGCCACCGAAACGCATGCAAACTGACGCACGCACTAGCACATGATCAGTTTCCACGCATCTTGACCAATATGATCTGCGGTCCCGAATACTGCCACGCCAGCGATGACTTATGGCAATGTTGTCGATCTTTGACCAACTTTGAGGAGATGATGGAGCGTGCCAGGTAGCGTAGTGACGTCTAGGGTGGCGAAAATTCGTGCTGGAGAGGTAAAGTTGGTGGACAGCACACAAGCTGAGTAGTCTTTCACCATTGTCTGAGCGAAAGTTGTCGTATCCATGCGGGCCTCCAAGATGGCGTTCGCTTGGTAACAAACGACCAACACGCGAGTTGAAATCCCCCGCCATAATAATGATGTCCGTTTTGGGGGCCAACACCAGCTTGCCCACAAGCGGTAGCCTCGACGTCTCCAGAAAGTCGAAGGTGGAAACGAGTACAAGGGTGAACTGGCGACGATAATGGCTAGACTGTGCTGGAATCCTGAAGTTGTGTTTCGGGCAAACAACAGACATCCATTGCAAGAGTTTCTAGAGTGCGCGTGAGACCAGCTTGCTGCCCAATCTGTTTTAAGGTGTGCACATTGAACGCCGCCAAGTTGAACTGTGTCTTCGGTTGCAGAAGCGGAGAGGGTAGAATCCGGGACTGTTCCATCCCGGTTTGGCGCTGTGTGATTATGTCAGAGGATGGAGCGGCAACAGTGATATCGGAAGAAGTAATGCTGCTCATCATTGATTGATCAGACAAAAACGGGGAAGAATGATACAGAGGAAGAGTAGATAAGCGAGTGGCGTGTGATGGAAGAGTGTTTGCAGTAGTAGCACGAGAGCAAAGCATCAGCATAGCGAAGCGTACAGTTCAGTTCCATGGTTCATCAGTAGGCGAGATACTACCCGGTTGCCTAGGCCGAAGTAGGGGGTTGTCTTAGGGGGCCGCCAGCCCTAGCCTTTGGCTCAATAGCCTACACGCAGGGCAACGGGGCGAATTCAGGGAATCGCGCCCATTGGGAGCCGGTGACCGATTACTCGGTTCATACGCCTTTCCTTTGGTCAGGTACCAAACAGGGGCCCAATCCTCCCCACGATGACATCATCTGGCAGCTGGAATACAATGCTCCACTGGAGTGAAGCAAGGGGCAGTGATTTTATTTAGTGGCG